AGAGAGAGCCTCGCAGTCATCACTTGGCAGCTGTAGTAGCTGCTGCTGTTGATGTTGTTGCTGTTGTTGCTGTTGATGCTGCTGCTTTGACGGCTCTCCGTTTGCCACATTCAATGACCGCAGTGATTCGACAATCCTACAGCGAGTAAGAGACAGGAAGAGAGTAAGTAAATAGAAGGCAGTGAGTGCATGCAGCACTGTACGAGGACAGGACCAACCTGAGTTTGTCTGCCGAGTCCTCCATCGGTCGACTGAAGGAGTTGTGGCTGATGCGCTCAATGTCCTCACTGGTGAACGTCTCAATGTCAATCTGGGCGAGGTGAATATCAAAGTTCTTGTGGTAGCGACCGGCGCTGACTGAAGAGTCAGAGTTGGAGGTGAACGATATTTGACTGGCGGTGTTCTCGAACAGACCTCGCTGTGAATGCGTCGACCTGAAAGAATTATCGCTACAAGCAGTGATTAGTGGCCGTGCTCTGTCCAATGTCTCGGCTGTGCAACACATACAGGCCAGCTGTCGTCTAGGCGGCTGCACCGTGTCTCTACGACTTGCTAAGTAGGTAGATAGGTGAGCGTCTCTAATGAGCAACTGTTCCGCTAGACAGGCCTCAAAGACATACTACACACTACACTCTACCCTACTGTACTGTACTCTCTCCCTTCCAGTACTCCACTCACCACTGGCCGAACTGGTAGTCCATCTCGGCGCACCAGTGAAAATCATCGTTTGAGGAAATCACCAAGTTCTGACTAGCATTGGTGGTGGTGGTGGCGGTGGTGGGACTGTTGTTGTTTGCGGTGGCAGAGGAGGAAAGGACACTGGCACTACTGCCTGCAGGCAGTGCTCCAAGACGCTGGGGTGATAGGATGCTGTTGGGGCGAGGGCGTTGATCCAAGGACTGCTCCACCCTCTGAGATGCGTCCATGCTGGTTGGGCTGGAGGGCACTAGCCAAAGAGCAGCAGCAGCACCGACAGCAGCTGCAGCAGCAACTCATACCCGCAAACTTGACNCACCCTCTGAGATGCGTCCATGCTGGTTGGGCTGGAGGGCACTAGCCAAAGAGCAGCAGCAGCAGCACCGACAGCAGCTGCAGCAGCAACTCATACCCGCAAACTTGACGCGGTAAGGAGCAGGCCCAATAGCTGGGGCTCACTGGGTCACGAAGAGGCAGAAAACAGTCTCACTGTTGAAAGAGTTCTGTTGTAGTCTGGCAATCGGCCAGTGCTGGTCCACTTGGCGAGCAGCGAGTAGACGGCAAGACTGCATCACTGCGAGATGACATCAAAGCCGAACTGCAGTGAACGAGTCATTGAGAAATTTTTCAGCAGCAGCAGCAGAAGTAGGCAATATAGAGCAGTGCCGCTGCTCTGCAGGTCGTGCCGCAGACACACACAGTCACAGTCACAGCGGTTCCCACTCAGTTTGCTTGGATCGGGCGTGGACTCTCTCTCTCTCTCTCTCTCTCTCTCTCTCTCTCCCTCTCTCTCTCCCTGCTTCGACTGTGGATTCCCTGCTTGGACTCCCGAGCGGCGACTGCTTACTCATCACTGCCCATCTTTGGCCACTCGGTGGCCCAGTGGCGCCGTACAGTGACGCCAGGCGCCAAACTCTGCCCTTTACTCGGCACAACTACCGCTGCACTACCGCAGCAGACGTCGCCAACCAGTCCGATCCGTTCACTGACAACCGAAGAGCGTGGATACCACTGCTGCCGCTGCTGCCACTCCACCACTGGTCAGCAGGGTCCAGCAGCTTGGCCACGGTCACGGCGACAGCAGCAGCAGTCAGCGATGAGTCATCCAAAGCAGGTTAAGTGATTGCGTAAATGGCTTGCCGAGAACAGACGATTCTTCAGTGAACACAGGTGAACTCCACAGTGCAGAGGAGTTGGGCCTGAAATAACTGAAGGCTAAAAAGAGAATTTTCGGTTTATCGAATTAGAGTACTAGCTGTCAGAGCTTAAAAACTTCACTTGAATCAAGTGACTTGATCATCCTTTTCACGTCAAGGAAATGTCGAGATGACGACGACGACGATGAAGCTGCTGCTGTAGCTGCTGTGACATCGTTAGCGACANATTCGGTTCATCGAATTAGAGTACTAGCTGTCAGCTTAAAAACTTCACTTGAATCAAGTGACTTGATCATCCTTTTCACGTCAAGGAAATGTCGAGATGACGACGACGACGATGAAGCTGCTGCTGTAGCTGCTGTGACATCGTTAGCGACAAGTTTAGCGACAGCACTTTTCTTGTAAGAAGGGAAAGAGATGCTGCGCTTTTTGGAGTGAAAAGAAGGAAGGAAACGTACGGCTGCCAAGTAGGCGGCAGTGCCATATTTACGAGTTATTATGGGCACTTTTTTCGGTTTCTCGCCTTCGATTCGAGCAGTCCGCTGAAGACACCAAAATGCCGAAAAAACATTTTCGTGCACTTAGCAGCTCTGCTGTGCCAAAATAGCAGAGCCTATTTGCACCCTGCGCAGAGGGAATGCAGGGAGAAAAGCACAGTGGCAGACTCACTCGTGTCAATGATTTTCAATCGACTGAAACAAACAAAACACATCCTTTGATTTGAAGCTCTACCTGGACGCCGCCGCATCGGCATCACCTCGCCGCCCATTGACATCCTCGTCACAGCAGGACTTGTTTTGGGGAAGAATTGCAGGGTGACATTTTTTAATGTTATGCTTCCCTCTCCTCTCGACAGCAGCAAAATTATCTAGAGAAACCGCCGCCGCCGACTCCAGAACAACCACGAAGAGATTTTGATGCACAAAGCACAACGCCCAACTGCAACCTTGTCACAATGATGGGTGAAAACCCAGTAAACGGCAACAGCTCTTTTAACAACAACCCACTTGCTCAGATGGGATTTGCCAATGATGGCCACAGGACGCTTTACATCGGCAACCTCGATCCTTCCATCAATGAAACCTTTATTAACACCTTATTCTCGGTGTACGGTCGAATAAGTGGCCTTAAGATGATCAGTGACAACCTGAACGACCCATACTGCTTTGTGGAGTTTGAGGAGAGCAGCGCCGCTAACAACGCCTTGACCACAATGAACAAACGGATAATACTGGGACGCGAAATCAAAGTAAACTGGGCAACTAGCCCCACTTGCAGCGGTCCGAAACAAGACACCTCGAAACACTTTCATATTTTTGTGGGTGACCTTAGTACCGAGCTAGAATCGGCGCAGCTTCGAGACGCATTTGCTCCATTTGGGGAAATTTCCGACTGCCGGGTTGTGCGTGATCCGCACACACAGAAATCAAAAGGCTACGGATTCGTGTCCTTTCTCAAGAAGACCGACGCCGAAATTGCCATACAGCACATGAACGGCCAGTGGTTGGGCTCGCGGCCTATTCGTACAAACTGGGCCTCACGGAAACCGCCTGGCGCCCAGGTGAAGAGTGAGCCTGCTCAAATCGGCCCTAACCCCACTACCAACAACAGGCAACTTAATTTCGAAGAAGTCTATAATCAATCGAGTCTTTCAAACTGCACCGTCTACTGCGGAGGCATCACCAATGGTCTCAGCGAGGAGATGATTTCAAAGGCTTTCAATCAGTTTGGCCCGATTCAGGAGATTCGTGTCTTTAAAGAAAAGGGCTATGCCTTCATCAAGTTCATAAGCAAGGAGGCGGCAACCAATGCAATCGTCATGATGCACAACCAGGAGATACAGGGCCAAACGATCAAGTGCTCATGGGGCAAGGAGTCAACTGAAGGCAGTGTACTGAGCTCAGCTGCACAACTAGGGCAAGGCATCGCCCCACCGCTCATTTATCCCTACGGTCAGCAGATGTCCTACAATCCCTGGTACGGATCACCGCCCAACTACTCTGGCCAGCCTTATGCCGTCCCGCCAACGGGCGTGCAATATTCCTATGGCAACCAGTACTATGGCTCGCAGCAGGCCCAGTCGAACCCAGGCCAGTACAGCCATGGACTTGGAATACCAGGTGGGAGTTGGCAAAACTCAGGTGGAGCACCTCCTCTTCCTCCTCCGCACCTGTCCGCCGCAGTGCACCACAGCTCGGCGATGGGGCCTTATGCGCCAATGCAAGGCTACCAATAGCCCCGGATGTCTTCCACTTGCCTACATCATCACTTGCTTCTTGACAACTGCTTAACTTGCCCGTATCTGACAACTGCATTTCTAAAGCATCATGTTTTTTGCCAATCATCACAAATCATCCCCACTGGCACAGTTCAGTGAAAAGCATAAATTCTCTCTTAACCGTTGCACTACATCGAAGTTGCCTACAAAATATATATTCATCCACAGGTGATTTGATGCAGATGTAATGGCGCAAAGTACCGTTTAATCATGTGATCGCGACCGTGTGCCCCCACAGAGTAAATCAGTATCCGCTCAGCTGAGGCGCACCTCACACGCACACTGTCAGCCCAAACACTCTGTACCATAGTCCCAAGCATCGATAAGACAAGTAATAAAGACACCAAGTGATCAATACACCACTTTATACCAAACAGACGCAATCAACTGTTGTTTACACCTTCTCTTGGCACACTCACCTGTGCCCGGTGCATCGTGTGGTGTTGTGCACTGCTGATGCTCATCACCTCTACCGTTAATCGAAGTGTCACTGACTGACTGATTGCCCATAACATCGTCTGTTTCCAAGGTTGTCTACAGTTATCAGCGGCAATCTAGCGGTGATGCTAATCACCGTCGAAGAGGTGCAACAAAAAGTGCCGGTCCTGCCGATGGCTCCATCTGTTCAGTATGAGGCAGTAGGCCGGCTGACTGACTCCAATCGAGTGACTGTCTTCTATCAGTGCACTAGTGCACTTTGCTTTGTACTTAGTCACATGAAACAGCTGCTCTTGTCAGTGCGCCCGGTAAGGCTACGTATTCCTCAGTCACTCCAGCCGCTCCGTCTTTCAGGTGCAGCCTTCGCTCACTTGCCCTTGCAATTACCCAAACAACAGCAGTAGCAACGACTCAAAATCAGCTGAACCAGGATGGACCAAGTGGAGAACCTGTGTTCGGTCTTCTACCCAAGCAAGTGCTGTCACGACATTCTCATTGACCATGTAATCGAGAATGAGTGCTTCAAGACCATCTTCGCAAAGACGCTAGGTTATGGCATCATCTTCGGCTCGACGCTGGTCAAGCTGCCGCAAATTCTCATTCTCCTCTCGGCTCGAAGCGGCGCGGGCGTCAGTCTCTTCAGTGTCCTTCTCGAGCTAATTGCCCTCACCTTTACCTCGTCCTACTCGCTGGCGAATAACTTTCCAATCAGTGCCTGGGGAGAGGCGCTCTTTCTCATGCTCATGACCACGCTGGTCGCCTTTCTCATCATCTTCTACGACGTGTCAGGCCAACGAGCGGGCCTCTTCTTGCTCACCTACACCAGCTTCGCCTATGTGCTTATGAGCGGTCTGGTACCGATGAACATTCTCTGGGGCTTGCAAGTGCTCAATGTGCCTTTGGTGATCTCCAGCAAGTTGGTGCAGGCGTGGGTCAACTACAAGAACGGCCATACGGGCAACCTTTCCGGTATCACGGTCACGCTGGTCTTCCTCGGCTGCGTGGCCCGAATCTTCACGTCTATTCGCGAGACCGGCGACAATATCATCATTCTCAGCTACATACTGGCTACCATAGCTAACTTCCTCCTAGTATCGCAAATTGTTGTTTACCGCAAGAAGACTGAACAGTTCAAGAAGAAGGAGCTGGCCAAGAAGACCAAGTAGATATGTCTACAAATGTGATTGGTAGCTTTGTTGTTTTATTTAAACAATTACATCTGTAAAATAGATGCTCAATAAAAATACACAACTCTTCCCAGGTTATTGTCGCTCTTGATCAATGTACATTGCAGTTGGGGTGGTAACCTGGGGGCTGAAAGGTGCCAATATATCAAGTGCTTATGAGCCGCTGTAAAGGGAAAAGATGGTGATTAGATGGAGATTCCCAGAAAGCAATGAGAAGCGTCAACTTACACAATGATGTTATTGATGGGAATGTGGATCAGCTTCACGAAAAAGCCGATAAAGCCCATGATGGCAAAACCGATGGCAGTGGCTACTGCAATCTTCTGGAACTCTGTGAAAAGTCGGATGAAAACAAATTCAAGTTAAAACCACAACGGGTAATGTTTATGTGGTCGCCAGTGCCGGCCGGTGCTTACCCTTGCGGTCGGGCTTGGTGCATCGCTTCACCAGGCGGATGGAGTCCTTGGTGAACTTGCGTCCGGGCTCAACGAAGGCGAGAATTTGATCCATTTCGGGTGGTGGTGGTCAGGAGGGTGACTTGGGTGAAGCAGTTAGATGCGGCTACGAGGCAGAGCGACTTCAAGTGACTTGACTAAACACGTCGCCGTAGAAAAGAAGAGAGAGACTACTCGGCGGCACACGTCACCAAACATCAACTTTGCTGGCGAGCAGCGAGAGGGAAGCAAAGCAGGCAATCTCACTGGAAAAGTTGCCGACAACCATCTGTCCAACTGGTAGCGCCAACAAATGGCAGAGATTGTGTTTATCGTTTGCGTTATCGGATTAAGCGTTGTCTTCAGATAAAGTGAGTGATTTTAAAGTTTGTAAACTTTTGCCATGGTAACCCATTTCAAACTTCAAACTCCGCTCGACTATAATCTTTCTTTGAAATTACTGCCGAAAACCCAACGAGTGAACCTGGTGGCACCATGAAGACGCATCTTCTCAAGCCAACCACTGATAATCTGGTTGTTTATTTGCCAGATGATTTGTTCGAGCATCGATTGGAAGTCTCCCCTCCTCTAATCTCTCTACCACTTCGACTAATGTCCAGTGGCACTCTGTTTTTCCGGCCGGCAGCTGATCCCCACTGTCGATTACCGCCAGTGTCGTACGTTTTTCATTTGGACGCCGACTGTAGAGACTGTGAGGTGAATAAGCGACCGTAATCGCTGGTACATCGACGAGGTGCAATCGACGAGTTGTTTTCATAGGCTGCGATAAAGGCGATATCGCCCATGGGCTGATGGTTCTAAACGTGTCTCTTGCCAGTAGCACCTTGTTGCACGCAATGACCACCACCGTGCCATCTTCAGCTCGTGTTCAGCAGAGGCATTCCAGGCATCAGCAGTCAGACTCTGCTAGTGTTATCATCATCAGCAGCAGCAACCGTAGTGATAGTTGAGACAGACGGAGCTGCACAGATTTTCCACCATCCACGGTCTGAGTAGAGCAAGCAGTGGAAGAGACACTGATCAGATCTTCGATCACGTCATCCCTCGGCTCACTCTGCTTCTTCTCTTTCCACCACTCACTTTCTCTCTCTCTCTCGCACTCTGCTCAAGGACAGCCTCATCTCTGCACCTTCTTCTATCACCTTCTATCGCCACCATCGACGGATAATAAAAACAGTCTACAGACTGTCTGAAGGGCCATTTGGAGTTTCCCCCTGAACGAAGACACACTGACATCGCCAACCATACGTCGAATTGCAGCAACCATGTCCGGCGAATTAGGTATGCGCCTTTCTTTCTTTCATTCATTCTTTGAAGCTAAACTCGCCTTTTTCTGGTTTTGCAGCAATTCTCAGTGTCTCCGACAAGACTGGTCTGATTGAGTTTGCAAAGCAGCTCAGCCAGGCTGGCCTGAAGCTGGTGGGCAGCGGCGGCACTGCAAAGGCCATTCGCGATGCGGGCATGTCAGTGACCGACGTCTCCGCCATCACCGGCCACCCTGAGATGCTGGGCGGACGGGTGAAGACTCTGCACCCTGCAGTGCACGGCGGCATCCTCTCCCGGAAGATCGCCTCCGACGTGGCGGACATGGCCAAGCAGAACTACCAGTTCGTGAGCGTCGTCGTCTGCAACCTGTACCCCTTCGTGCAGACCATCTCCAAGGCGGGCGTCACCATCGAGGACGCCGTGGAGAACATCGACATTGGCGGCATCACACTGCTGCGCGCCGCCGCCAAGAACTACGCCCGAGTGGCCATCGTCTGCGACCCCGCCGACTACGGTCGAGTGGGCGGCGAGCTGCTGGCCACCGGCGCCGTCAGCGAGGCCACTCGCCAGAGTCTGGCGGTGAAGGCTTTCAACCAGACCGCCGCCTACGACGCCGCCATCTCCAACTACTTTCGCGGACAGTTCAGCGCTGGCGTGTCGCAGCTGTCGCTGCGCTACGGCATGAACCCCCACCAGAAGCCGGCGCAGATCTACACCACCAGCGGTCCGCTGCCGGTCACCGTCCTCAACGGCTCGCCGGGCTTCATCAACCTCTGCGACGCCTTCAACGGCTTCCAGCTGGTGAAGGAGCTGAAGAGGGCGCTGGGCATGCCGGCGGCCACCTCCTTCAAGCACGTCAGTCCGGCGGGGGCGGCCGTCGCTGTGCCGCTCACCAAGGAGGAGGCTCGTCTGTGCATGGTCGACGACCTGGAGCTGTCGCCCATTGCCACCGCCTACGCCCGTGCCCGAGGCGCCGATCGAATGTCCTCATTCGGCGACTTTGTCGCTCTTTCCGACAAGTGCGACGTGGCCACGGCGAAGATCATCTCTCGAGAGGTCTCCGACGGTGTCGTTGCCCCTGACTACGATGAAAAGGCGCTGGAGATTCTGTCGAAGAAGAAGAATGGCGGCTATTGTGTGCTCAAGGTTAGTTCAGCAGTTGCTGTTGTCAACACTTTATTTTAACTATGTATTTCTTTTTCTTCAGTTTGACCCCAACTACGAGCCAGGAATGCAGGAAATTCGCACCCTCTACGGCATCACCATGGAGCAGAAGCGCAACGACGCCGTCATTGATGAGAATCTCTTCCGCGAGGAGAATGTCATTGTCAAGTCGGGATCGGTAAGTAGTGGTGGTAGCAGGGGCACTCTTTTTAAATTTCACTTTGCCGACTAACCGCTTTTAACCACTTTTCACATGCAGATCTCGAAAGAGGCGATTCGCGACCTGATCGTGGCGACGATCGCCCTCAAGTTCACTCAGTCCAACTCGGTGTGCTACGCGAAGAACGGCCAGGTGATTGGCATCGGCGCCGGTCAGCAGTCGCGCATTCACTGCACCCGACTGGCCGGCGAGAAGACCGACAACTGGTGGCTGCGACAGCACCCGCGCATCGCCAACGCCGCCTTCAAGAAGACGGTGAAGCGCGCCGAGGTGTCCAATTTGGTGGACGCGTACGTCAACGGACTGGTCGGCAAGGAGATGGACGTCGCCACCTTCAATGCTGCCTTTGACACGCCCCCAGCACAACTGACGCCGGTAAGTGTGCACTGGTGCAACGCTTGTGTTGTACTAAACCAAACTAATCCCTTTNGTCGGCAAGGAGATGGACGTCGCCACCTTCAATGCTGCCTTTGACACGCCCCCAGCACAACTGACGCCGGTAAGTGTGCACTGGTGCAATGCTTGTGTTGTACTAAACCAAACTAATCCCTTTCTTTTTCTCTTATTTGCAGACTGAACGCAGTGAATGGATCGGCAAGTTGAATCAGGTGGCCGTCAGTTCTGACGCCTTCTTCCCCTTCCGCGACAACATCGACCGGGCCTTCCAGTCTGGCGTCGAGTACATTGCCAGTCCTGGTGGCTCTACCAACGACCAGTCGGTGATTGATGCCTGCAAGGAGCACAACATTTCCCTTATTCACACCGGTCTTCGCCTTTTCCACCACTAAGTATTTTTGAGTCACTGCATACTCCAAAGAGCATCGTGCTATACAACGCCAATCTATTCTGTACAGCTTTGTTTATGTCTCAATTTTAATAAAAAAAAACTTAAAATCAAATTGTTTGTGTGTGAATCTATCAGTTTTATTTCTAGATAATAAAATACTGGTTAAAGAAAAGTGCCAAGCATGAAGATATTCCCGCCCTGGCACTTTTTCACTTTAGCTGATTTTTTAGTTACGTACTCTACGACGGGAGGTTTTCTCTAGCATCGCTCGCGATTTCGTAAACAAAAAAACTCATCAAAATTTTTTTGTGGCCAAGTGTTAAATTTCAAAGCTTAAAAACCCGGAAAATGGTTAGTTTACCTACTGAATACGGGGCTGGGATCTCGCACCCCTCCATTCGCCCGAAACCCGACACAATGAGACTTGTCGAGACCGTCCTCTCTTCGTTTCAAGTGGCGAAAACATTTCGTGAAAACACCGACCGAATCAATTCTATTGACTTTTCCAAGAATGGCGAAACAATGATCAGCTCTTCCGATGATGATTCAATAGTCATCTACGATTGTGAAAAGGGCACCCACAAGCGTACACTGAACAGCAAAAAGTATGGGGCCGATCTGATTCACTACACACATGCTCCAAATACTGCAGTTCACTCAAGTAACAAAGTGGACGACACCATTCGATATCTTTCCTTGCACGACAACAAATACATCCGCTACTTCCATGGCCACACCAAAAAAGTCGTCACCCTTTGTATGTCACCAATTGACGACTCTTTTCTTTCTGGATCTCTGGATAAAACGATCAGACTCTGGGATCTTCGATCACCGAACTGTCAAGGATTGATGCATCTGGTTGGCCGACCGGTGGCCAACTTTGATCCGGAAGGACTCATCTTTGCAGTTGGCATCAACAGCGAATCAGTTAAACTTTACGATCTTCGTTCTTATGATAAAGGACCGTTCAACACCTTTAAATTGCAACAAGACAGAGAATGCGACTGGACCGGTCTCAAATTCTCTCCTGATGGCAAGATTATCATGATCTACACAAATGGATCGGTCATACACACTATCGACGCATTTACTGGAACGCCACTACATACTCTGCAAGGACATGTCAACAACAAAGGTCTTTCTCTGGAGGCATCTTTTTCGCCTGATTCTCAGTTCATCTTTAGTGGTTCCACAAACGGAAATATCTGCTGCTGGAATGCTTTGACCGGCGCCAGAACGGTTATCTTCAAGTCAGATCATGCTGCTCCCGTTCAGTGCGTGCAATTCAACCCAAAATACATGATGATGGCATCTGCCTGCAACACAATGTCCTTCTGGATTCCAGCTCTTTATGATGAGACACAGCCGTAACGATTCATTCTGTCAACACATGCACTTCATATGAGTAGCGTTAAGAAATTTCATGTTCATAATAAGTTGCCCTACTAAAATAAATGTAACATAAATATCAGTATTTTATTCAATAAGAGACCAGTTTGGCGATGGATTGCTGAGACAGTTAAAGTCATCAATCTGTGTCCAGTTGTTCACAGCTCTATCAATGGCCGCCTTTGCGAAATCTGCCTCCAGCTTATCGTAAGACCAGGTATAGCGTCCAAAACGAAGTTTGGAGCAGTTCTCCACAATGGAACGACTTCGAACGTGCTGGTAAATATCACAGTCGGTTGTATCGTGAATGCGCAATTGATGGCCGGCGATTTGCATCTGACACCGCTGGCAGTTGCTGATGAAGACGGACCCTGAAACAGGCCCTGAGAATATTCGACACTGTCGCAGATTAATCAGTCGAAGTGCACTTGGAGCACCTTGCAGGGAGATGACACAGTCGGTGAGTGAGTCAAGGACGACCTCCTTCTGGTCAAGCTCATCACTACTCAGCATTCTCTCTTCACCAGATAGGCCGGACAAACCGATGTTGTTTCGCAAAAGCACTTTCGAGTCAGGCTGATCTTCAGTGTTGAAAGTTGCAGTTGGCTTAACTTCGGCTGCTTTGTTTGCCTTAGCAGCAGCTGTGGCTTTGAGGCTGAATGAAAATTTGAAAGGTTTGCTACTAACTGCTTCTCGTTCTCGTGATATTCGCAAGTCAATCTCCTTGATCAGGTCATTACAGACTCTTATTTCATAAGCAATCATTGCAGAGAGGTGTTTGTGAACGTGCTTTTTAACTTCTTCGGCTTTTAAAAACATAGCATCAATTTTGCTTCTTTTATCTGACTCATGTTGTAATTGAGAGGCATTATCCAGTTCATCAAAAATGGCTTGTTTCTGTTCTTTTACAAAAGCAACGGTGTCAGTGCTCTCCATTTTAGCTGGTGTGGTCAGGAATAAAAATAAAAACAAAATGACGAGTGATTTTCTACCGGCAAAATTGTCTGATGACACAGCTTAGCTACAGCTACAAAAGATGATAGCCAGACAGTTGGCCGAACAGACAGGCGGGCGAAACTGGTAACCTGC